TTAGGATAGAGCGACCACAGTTTCGTAGGTTTGCATGCTTTGCGTGCCATTTTGACTGTTGGTGCCGGTCGTGGGGGCTTTTTTAATGTGAAATGATGTCAAGGACTTGTTCTGAGAATCAGGAATGTGATCGGAACATGGCTTTGGATAGGCATATAAATATGTATATCTTAGGGAGAAAGCTTACCCCGCTCTGAAACAGCAAATGTACCTCCCAACGACAACAAGTCGCTGCCGTAGCATGGGTTGATTGGTAAATATGCTTTCTAGTGTAACCCGACACTAGACACGTAGCTGGGATAAAGATCAGATCTGGGGGTTCAAATAACATATGAATGAGCAAGTAAGCTCGTAGATTGTTGCAGATATATAGTGTTGCGAACACCAAGTTCATGGGATAGTCAGTTTCACAACATGAACAGTGTCATATTTACGCTGTACATACAGGAGACACTGCCTTATAGTTTGCTCAGTATGGTGGCTTGAGACGTTGTGCAACATGAAAAAAGGAGTATCTATATCTTGACCGAGAATCCAAAAGAACTATTAATCTAACTGTTGGCCCAAGGGTGTACTGTAGGCTCTGTATGCAATTTCATGTGCGATTGAGTAATCTGGATATTGCTAGGATAAAAGCAAGCCTTAGGTTGGCTCTGACGATGGCTCGTGTATGTGAGTACGTCACGACGCATTGTTATCACATTGCTGCCTTAAAGGAGTTTCGATTATCCGAATCGAAATCGCGCTTTGCCGGTGGCCTTCTCTCCAAGCATTATCAACTTCTCCTAATCGTACTAAATTTATCAGGGGTTTTCGCTAGACGGCCTACATACTTTACCAGCTAAACCTCCTGAGGTAGGGTCAGACCCTCCGTCAGGAGTGAAGTAACTGAAAGATGGAAGAGGCAAGCTAACGGTCGCCAAATCTACTTGGTTTACGCGGAGCCTAAAGTCATCCAAGCCACCAAGGTCTGCACATACCCGAAATTATAGAGCACTGCGTATACGGCGAAGGAACCGAGAGATGGGGGGGAGGGGGGTTGACGATAGTGAAATGTCGCCAATTTGCTGGTTACGTGAAACCTTCTGGTCATCCTTGCTTCTCGTAAGATGTAACGATACAGCTGGGATGCAAAATAATGTACCGTTGCTACGTATACTCATAACTCGTAATTTACGTGATTCCACATTAGGACTCCTGACCCACTCTGTCTCCAGACATGAAGGCAATAACGGGCGGCACTAGAACATTTTGCCGTCATATTCTCACCATTCCCCAGCTAGTCTATGATATTCTTTTATTCTACTTTAATCATCGTTGAAAATATACAAATCCTACGTGATCTTTTATCGCCCTTCAAAATTGTGACTTTGTGAGCAGTTCTTTGCTTGCTATTCCTCGCTACCTTGATCAAAATCGCGCCGAGCAACTATGTAACCCGGGCTCTCGAGTCTGCGGGACTCTTGCACCTTGGCTGATCCGTTGTCCGCCGAATGGCTGAATATTGTTTGTCAGGGAAGTAAGGCATTGCGATCTTGGGGGTTGCAACGTATTAGGGGATGCACGGACATCAAAACAAGTGGAGCCAAATAAGCCAATAACATCCAATAAACACCAGCCTCTCTTTTTGGCTAAGGTGGTGATCAACTAATTACTGTAGACAAAATTCGACATATGATTTCTTCGAACTAGTTAAACACTCATTCACCAAGAGCTTCCTTTAATTACGCATAAAGGACGAGGACCGTGAGAAATAACTGCCGTCAACTACTGAGTTCCTATTTACTCAAGGTTGATCGAGTTCGTCCTGTGCAATGGTCAGCACACGTTCTGAATCAACCAAAGCACCCGATTTCCGCAACAACACTTTTTGAAGGGGATTCGTTTTCTCGCTCTATTGCGACAAATGCTCAAACACGTTGAATCGGCCTCGAAAGCCATTGGGAACGAGCGGCCTCTCACTTCTAGGCCGCGGCGCTCAAATGCGTTGAACTCAGCTAGCATCGCTCCTAGGGTCATGTTCACGGCCCCTAGAAGCTTAACGATCTCCAGGAGCTGTTGCGGCGGCTCGTCGGTGCGAGAAATATTGCTTTGGGATCACCAGTCTATCCCCAGGATCACCAGAATGATTCCGGATCAAAGGCAAGAGAGGCCAGGAATGATCTGGCTCGCTCCCAGGGGTGGTGGGTACAGCTCTAAGAGAATATTTAGTTCCCAGAAGCCGGCAGTATAGATGCTACAGTAGAAGCGATCATTGATCTTGGAATTGTCAAAGTCTTCTTAGGGTCCAGGGTAAGTTACTACAGTAGCGGCCGGTATTGCCTTTCACGTCGGGAACACAGATTATCTTTCGAAACCTAGTCACATGACACGCTAACCCGTATACAGATAGCGCATAAATAATTATCATGTCCCAAACCACATAATAAATACCAGGAGCTGCAACAACAGTATGGCAGATTAAAAGGTCTAGATGTAAATGCCTGGACTGGAAGATTCGATGCGAACATGGCAATCTAAAACAGGCAGTCAACAATTCCTTTCTCCACGGCAGAGATTGATTGGGTGTGAGAGTACTAGGCCCCCGCCTCACTGATCAACCCCGCTCCTCTTACAAACTGGCCTTCATTGCCATGACCTAGGCTCCGCCGTCAATACATCATTCACCTCTTTGAATACTTTTGCAATACTGCTTCTCGTGGAGTGCAAGAAGCCATGCCAAAAAACAAGGAATACTACGCAGTTTTTACCGGGCGTGTAGAGGAACCCACAATATTTTCATCATGGTAATATGCCGTCTGAAGTCGCAGGTATGATCGGTCCTAATTGAAGTGGCAGGGGAGATGCACATCCTCGAGTGACAGGCTGTACCTCACTGCACCGTGCATTTGAAACGCTCGACGATGCCCGCACCTACATGAAAAAGATGGGTACAACCCAGCCTAAGGAAATATTGAAGCTCGACGCAGGAGAAACAGCACCTTTGGATGGAAATGGATACTATGCGGTTGCTAATGGGGTAAACCCTGGTATCTATGATTTGTACCGGTAGGAACTGCAGCCGCCTGCTACGAAGGCATCATAGCTAACTTGCAATTACTGACGGAAGATACGGTGTTGAGAAAGAAGTTCAGAAGAAGAACGGTTCTTGTCACAAAATGTTCAGAACGAGGGCCCAAGCCGAAGCTTTCATCGAAGATTGGAAGGAATCTCATGCTGATGTTTGGCGGGAACTGATAAAGGAGGCATTGGACCAGGGCCTCAGGCCTCGCGATCCTAAAGTCTGGAAAACAGGCGGTATGAAGTCGATCATTGAACAGTTCATGTACAAGCCGGGAAAATCTACCGAGGTGGATGAAATTACGGAGAGAGCTCAGCAGCTTTCGCTACAACAGCCTCAACAGAACAACTAACGCTTTGATCTATCTTGGCATTCAGATTTAGCATGGACTAAAAGTTCTAGTTGCTAATTAGTTGTTATGTACAGTAGCGACCGGTATCGCCTTCCATCTTGAGAACAGAGAGACCATCTTTCAAACTCTAATCACGTGATACACTAATCCATATGTAGGTAGCGCGTAAATAGAACGTTTTATACCTAACCAGGTAATAATTGCAAGGAGCAAACACAGTAATCCTTGAACAGGCAATCTGTCAAAAAGTTCCTTCTCCGCCGCAAAAAAATTGATTGGTTGGGAGACTAGTTCGCGTAGATCAGCAAAGTTCCTGTAATTACAGGGTCCGGAGTTGGGCACCTTATTAATTATTACTTGCTGAACTAACTTAGGAGACCCAAAGCAGGCTAACTTACCACGGGGCAATTTCAGCCTGAGCAGTCCGTGCCTAAATTGGCGCGGTCAGCCTTCCTCCGTTTTTGCCCAACCTTTTTTCGCTACTGCGCCTTAACACGGCGATAATTGACCGCCTAGAAGTGTCCTGGAAATCTCAATATTCTGTGAGAGTTCTCTCAACTCTTATTCGATTTTGGGCGTCTTGACCAAACTCATCTCACAGCAAGAATATCCTGGACTGCACTCTCATAACCATGCCTGCGGACTGGGCTCTTGGCAGCCTGATTATAGCAGTCATCGCCCTTCTCATAAGTAGGGATTTTCCGATGACCCTGCTCATGAAAACGATAATTGCTACCTGCTTGCAGTGGTTTTGCTCTGAATCGGCTCTATGTGATTCTGCTGTCTGGGATGATCTACCAGATACGTATTTTCATTTCCATCAGAACTGCGCAAGTGACTTACCCGGAGGTGAGCTGTTTCGCAAACTTCCGTGCTCTCATCGCACAGAAACCTTCTTGGAATATTTTTCGAGCTTGATAGCTTGTGGGGAAAAAAGGGCAGTCAAAAAGCCTCATGACTTAGATCTAATGCGGAAGTATTTCCATACGGATGTGAAAACGCTATTGATGTGTTTCATGTCTACCATTGACGACAAAGGCGCCTGGCTGTTCAATCATGATGTGTCTTCCAATTCCTATACTTTCATGTTTTCTAAGTTCGGGAAACCGTCATTTTTAGCACTGAAGAGGCACTCGAACTACTTCGAAGCCGACATCCACGCCCCGTGCCGAGATTGCCATATCGTGAACCAGCGGACGAAGACAGAGTTGGAAAGCATTATCGTATCGGGCGCACCACCATGGTACCAGCAAATTCTACAAAACAAACATCATGTAACATTCCGCTTCCCAGAGCCGAATGATCGAAGCATGGCACGTGCTGGCTGGATTGTAGCCATCGGCCTCGGCGACGCCAACGCATTGCCCTATTTTGGAACTTCCTTCGGTAATTTTCGGACATTATCACCATCTTCCCACCACAGAGGACCTAGTAAAGGTTCGTCATATTGGCAGGGATGTCAGTACCTCCAAGGGTTTCTATGTGACCAAATTGGGGATCAATTCCCCGGAAATGAGCTTGTGCAAATTACAAACCAAGTCATCAGAGGAATGTTGGATGATCACACAGGTAGCGGAATATCCAGATTCCTAAACCATACACCACTTGAGAATGCGGTCTGCAGTGGCAGGTACACGGAAGGGCTTGACGCATCTGACATTGAATTTGCGATCAATGTATTCAACAGCCTTTACCTTGCGGAGTCTGACATCCAGCGTCTACGAGGGATCATGCTACCAGTACTCGCAGGATCCATCAGGGGCCTCCACAAGGTTTTGCAGCATCTGAACAGCCACAGCTTTCAATTAAGAGGCGACTTCAATGACCTAGTGGTCCAGAACTCTCCTGTTTTCCTTGGTTACTAAGGCGAAAGGATCACCAAGAGAAGGGGATTGAGACAAGGGAAATTAAACACCTTTAGGTCATGGCAAACACACTCTAAATGTATTAAATGTATTACAGATGTAAAGAGCAATATACTGGCCAACAGTATTGTTAGGATCCCAGCAACTCTTGGAGTTTCTCCTCACTACAATCTCAATGTAAGTCAATGAAGAGCGACGATAGTTTTGCGCTTCCTCCTACAGATATTGAGGTGATCACTGGTTACCCCATTTTTGCCGCTAGTTGTCGTTTTATTTTCTATACCGATGTAAGGTGAAACTAGGATACGAAAGTGTTGATTAAACGATATATTTTTATTCAGTGTGCACGAGCTAACGACCATTGTTTGAGTGACAGCAGCTTGAATGAAAAAAATTGAGTGTATGAAGCTTAAATCCGAGAAGCTCAGTCCATATTCGGGGAGTACGTTAAGTACGTACGCAAAAGTTTGTGGATCAACTTCGGAGTTTTCTATTGAGATGATGTCTCTTACGGAGCAGATGAGTTACAGACAGTGATTGTTTAGTGATAATCTGATTCGAACTCAGATTTCGGCAAGTATTAAGGTGCCCAACTCCGGAACCTGTAATTACGGAAACTTTGCTGATCTACAAGAACCATCAAGAAGATTTAGTGGAGACTTGAGCTAATCGAATCAGGCTTAGCGTAAGCGGAGCGGGGCATCTGGAAAAAAAGCGTGTGTAAGAGGGGAAATCTGTTCTCGAAATCAACTATAGAGCATTGAACGCTGCATCCTTTTAATGAACACAGTGGGATAGATTCTGGGAGTTTCAAAAGAGGGGTATGCTAACTTCGAAGGTCAAAATTGTGGGTTTAATTTAAATGTGGGTTGATCATATGACCGGTTGGGTCAAAACAGATGCGAAGCTAACTACTGATGCGGGACGGTATGCAGGATGAATAGGTCTGCTGCCGATCAGTGACTATTACAGCGTCGTGTAAAGTGCTATACCCCAGCGAAGACAAGAAATTCCGACGGATACGCAGGCGGTACAAAACCTGTTGTTTACGCTAACCTATATGAAGTTTACCGTATCATGTGATTAGGGTTTGAAATAGTATCTTTATATTCCTGGCATGGAAGGCGAAAGTGGTTGCCACTGTATTTCCAGAAATCAATTACGGCACAGTAAATCAGAAATTTTAGTAAATGCTGACACCTGAGAGAAGATAAAGTAGCGACTACAGGTGTAAAAACACAAAGATAGTTATAATACTCGGTCTTTTCTTCGTTTTGTATTATACTATACGGCGTTGTGACAAATCCTCGAATACGAGCTCAACCACATGCGACTAAACACCTGTCGTGACTAGGGGTTGAAAGGCATCTGTGTGTTGTTTGAGATGGAAGGCGAAAGCGGTCACTACTGTACGAAGAAAGCTGCTTATTGAGAATTTTAGAGAGCAGATCTATTTTGGAGATTCTCAAAGGTTCTGGCATGAAATGTTTGCCAAATAGAAATCAACTCTTGACAGATCTTTGCTTCATCTTTATCTTTTTCTGCTTGTATAGGAGATATCATATTACTTAATGCTATTCTTTCTTTTCAAAAATTATTCTTTGACCGAGGGGCCAACACAGAAGTCGTCATATTTGGCATTGAGAAACTTTTTCAATGTTTTTTACGTTCCCTTGCGGGTAGAAAACAGCCCATCAAATGATGCGGTTCCTATAAACGCAGGTGTGATCTGGTCGACAAATAACCTTCTTTGGGTCAGAGAAAGCAATAATATGAATGGCACGGTAG